GATATCAATTTATGTTTGCTTGATCAAGGTTTCACTAACAAGAGCCAGTAATTTAGTTTTTCTGTATGTGTTTCACAGATGCTGACCTGGTTATCAATGAGGTGATGTGGTGGGACAACGGCATGTATTTCTGCTCCATCGATGCAGCAGGTGATGTTGTGGGAGACTCCGATAAAGAAATCAGACTCATTGTGTATCGTAAGTATCAACACACTGAAGACTTGTTCAACCACAAAAAATTATAGATGCTGATGCTGGTCATACCCCCTCTTCCTCTCAGACTGGCTGACTGTGCTGCTCATCGTCCTCGGTGGATTGCTCCTCATCATACTGATTTGTATCTGCTGCTGCCAGTGCTGTCCTCAGAACTGCTGCTGCTATGTCCGTTGTCCCTGCTGTCCTCGCACTTGCTGCTGCCCAGAAGAAGGTATCCACGTGCATTGACTCTTTATTACTTTAGTATCTTAGTCTGTGCATTTATCACACCAGATAATGTTACAATATTTATTTTTTAACAATATTCAAAGTGTTCTACTTCTGGTGGATATCAGTTCTTTGAAATAAATGTCTACTGATTACAAAATCACATTCTGCATAACAACTGTCCAGACAGTCAGCGCACTGTCCGCATAGTGATTCAGAAAAGAGGCCTCAATGAAGCTATTTTGGGGACAGAATATCGAGATCGCAAGATATACGTACAAAACAGTGAGTCTGGACATGCAGGAGCAGTGACATAAATCAGTGACAGTTTTATATTAGTATAGCAGAATGCTTCCATAAAATGCTTATAAATATCAGTTGTCACTCTGTATCTCCCAATAAAAACACCCAATAAAAAATTAAGTAAACTTAGTGTAGGATCTTTTATAATTATCCTAAGAGGCTTCCTAAAACTTATTATTAAAAAGTACGAGCTATCAATCAGAACAGGTTTTTCAGCTTCAAGTTTTGATAATATTGATAATTTGGAGGCATAAGAAATTCATTTATCAAATGATATAGCAGGCTTTATAGGATCAAATTAATTAGTGTAGACAACTGTTATGTGACAACCACAGATGTAGGCATTTAGAGAATCACAGCCATAGGAAACAATTTATTACATGCTCAAAAGTTGGTCTTAGAAATCTCATTAATCAGATCTTCTCACATCACAGTTTTTTATATATATATAATTTCTGCTCCATCGATGCAGCAGGTGATGTTGTGGGAGACTCCGATAAAGAAATCAGACTCATTGTGTATCGTAAGTATCAACACACTGAAGACTTGTTCAACCACAAAAAATTATAGATGCTGATGCTGGTCATACCCCCTCTTCCTCTCAGACTGGCTGACTGTGCTGCTCATCGTCCTCGGTGGATTGCTCCTCATCATACTGATTTGTATCTGCTGCTGCCAGTGCTGTCCTCAGAACTGCTGCTGCTATGTCCGTTGTCCCTGCTGTCCTCGCACTTGCTGCTGCCCAGAAGAAGGTATCCACGTGCATTGACTCTTTATTACTTTAGTATCTTAGTCTGTGCATTTATCACACCAGATAATGTTACAATATTTATTTTTTAACAATATTCAAAGTGTTCTACTTCTGGTGGATATCAGTTCTTTGAAATAAATGTCTACTGATTACAAAATCACATTCTGCATAACAATTGATTCGTTTGTCAATAATAATAATAATATGTTTTATAATATATATGTATATATGTAATGCATATGTTTTTTTCTTGTTTTTCTTTTTGACAATGAAAACTAAATAATAAGTAGACAGACAATACAACAAAATATGCGTTATAAATATACATATTTTTATTAATATAAGTATTCTTTTAAATAATAATATGAATAAAAACAACAATAAAATTCATAATAATTTATTATAATAATAATATGTGGAACCCTTTTAGCATTTTAACAATGAAAACTAATCTGTGCACTATGACAATACCACATAATGTGCTTTATAAATATTATTATTATTAAGTATTATTTCAAATAATAACAAATATATTTATAATAATTTGTTGTAATTTTATTGAAAAATAATACGTAGTGAAATATTTCTTCCATGTTCATTTGTCTATTTAGCGGTGATGCACCACAAGATGATGCGTGACGCTCAAAAAGCAATGGTACCGTGGCTCCATGGCCAGCCCATCTATGCCCCCATTGCCTCAAAGGCATCTTCTCAAGCAAACCCTTTACTATATTCAGGTCAGTATAACTTCCTCTAGTAATCTGCTAATGTATGTAGTGCTGCTTCTGATCAGTAATGATTTGACACTCATAATTTGTCCTCCACAGGGTCTTTTTCTGAAACTTCATCCAAACACAACCTTCCCATGGCCCCGATGGTCATTCCTCCTTCTCAACCTGTCCTGCCATTCGTACCTCCCCACGGATACCATGCCAATGGCAGCATAAATGGAAGTGTACGTGGTAATAACCAGGTGTTCGATTTTCTGGAGAACCAAGTAAGAGGGATAGATATGGCTGCCCCAATGCTTCAGCCTCAACAATACTACACAGAAGTCCTGTTCCAAAGCCTTCCTCATCAATATGTGGTCCCACAACCCCAATATGCAACTCCACCACCTCAACCCATACCCCAAGCTGTACCTTTATCAGCCAGGCCGCCCAGCATGCTCTCAGCCCTGGACGAGATGGGTGTCCAAGGTGTGGAGCGCAGGGTCATCCAGCTGCCTCCCATCGTGGGCCGAGCGAAACCGAGCTCTCGGCGGACCAATGATGGTGGAAGACACCGGCTATCTAATCATTCCAGTGGTAGCTCAAACCGCAACGGTCATCATCGTGATGATTCCCGGAGGGAGCCGTCATCTTCACGGAGAGGGACGCAGATACAGCACAGCGACGGGTCGGACTGGGACGACAGGCGTGGAGCCCGAGGTTCATCAGGACGCAGGGGAGTTTCGGTTTTGGATAGGTCTTGTCCACGTGTTCGTAGTAAAGGGGAGCTTCTGGAGGAGCTGGAGCACGCGACAAACCACAAAGACAGAAGCTATTCGCCTTCTCCACGTAGAGGCTCCTGGAGTTCAGACGAGGAGGACGGTTATAGAAAACGGAAGCAATCTCAAGGGAGATTGTCTGAGAAACCACCAGCTTATTCTACCATTGATATTTTGCCTGGCCACAGCAGGAGGAGTGACCACTTCTCGGTAAGAATGTAGATTTAGGATTTGTTCATCACTAAGAAGCTATGATTATATACTGTGGTGCCAAAAAGGTCACATTTAAAGGGAATCATTCACCCAAAAATGAAAATCCTGTCATAATTTACACACTCTCACGTTGTTCCAATCCTGTATGATTTTCTTTATTCTGATAACACAAAAGAAGAAATTTTGAAAAATGTCTCCGCTTGTTTGACTTTTAATGTATGAACAAAAACATATTCTTCAAATTATATATATATATATATAAAAAATTTTTTTTTTTTTTTTTTACAGGATAAAAGCTCTCGCAGTGGCATAAGCGTTGTGATCTGAGTCCCTGCCTTGTCCTTCATTTCTAACTTGATCTTTCATTACTCACCAGTCACCACCTACAAGTGAATGTCTTCTGGACTACTGTCATTGGGACTAATTGTGTACTTCAGCACAATAATTAAACCGTAACCGCAAATGGCCTGCAGTAGACCTCTGGAAGATAGTGAATGCACTGTACATCTTTTTTACACTTTATTTTGTGTTTTAATTCTACTTTTAGATGTTATTTGATCACTTAAACATTTTTTGTTTTATATATATATATAACTTTTCACTGTTTACACTGTACATTTTTTAATTATTAACCACAGCAAGGTTTCTGGTATTTGATCAGTACAATTTATAGATGACGTTAACATTGATGGCACTTCAGCTGAAGGTTTTACATAAAAGAGCCTCTTTGGTTCTCTGTTTACTTTTAGTTAACCTTTGTTTGGAGTAGTTTTAATATGGATTTGGTTGTTGTCTTTGTCTTTTCACAGTGTTGTTATCCAAATACAATCCTTGGGATGATTTAGATGTATATTTGATTATGTCTGCCTATTTCTACGTTATATTTTTGTTTGCGTTTGTATTTTTGATTGCACTTTCTGGTAATTATAATAATTGTCCTCGGCAAAGAAGGAGCGCGTGTAATTTAATTGCTCCCTTCCTGCGTTTAAGTGCGAACTGTAGTTTCGATTTGAGGAATTGGCCTGCTATAGACTATTGGCTGTGCTAATTAGAAGGCGGCCACAGCGACTCTAGAGTATTTAAACTGCTTGGTCACTGTCATAACTCGGGCCAAGCGATTAGTCAACAGAAGAGACAGACGGCTGCACGTGAGTGTTTTGCGTAATACTTGTTTATAGATCTGCTGTTGGAATTATTACTTGCTGCTAGGAAGGAATATTTCGTTTTCTGCCTATTTCTACGTTATATTTTTGTTTGCGTTTGTATTTTTGATTGCACTTTCTGGTAATTATATTAATTGTTCTTTGCAAAGAAGGAGCGCATGTAATTTAATTGCTCCCTTCCTGCGTTTCCATCGCTGTCATCGTCAGAGCGCACTTCCACAGTACATTCAGCTTCTGCCTCATATTCACGATCTCAGACATATTCTCAAAAAATATCGTTTTCAATAACTTCATATTCAATATTTTGATCACTGGCAGTTTATTCACCACATCCAGCATCAAATGACAGTGACATTTATATTTCATTGCGTATAGTAATTGCTCTGCAGTAAAATGATTTTGTCTTTGTTACTCGTAGTTATAAAGTATGGTAGCACAGCATTTTTGAATGATTGTCTTCATGAGTTTGTCTGCATCCATATTGCATATTGCATATGTTTCCTCTCACTTGCAAAGTATGCTTGCAGTTATTTCTTCTAGTTCTTTCAAAGCAGTTCTTTCTGCGTTTCCGCTCACCTATTTTTAAACCTGTTTAATTGAGGTTCCAAATAATGGCTCATTGGCTTAGATATAACACCAGAAGCATATATTCTTAAGCACACATGCAAAGTATGTTGCAGCTGTATTTCTACGAAATTCTGTTGTTTTAGCTATTCTGTTACTAATAAAATCTTTTTTTTTTGTTTTTTTTTCACTGCTTGTCCTATTTTGGCACAATCCCTAAATTACTATTATTTTGATATGGTAATTAATACTGATTCACTAATTTGGGCAAAGAGCACTAATGACTTGTTTAAGACTTGAATCTTAAAGAAATTATGTTGTCTTTGCTATTCTGTTACTAATAAAATAGTTTACTGCTTATCGTATTTTGGCACAATCCCTAAATTGAACTTGAATAGTGTTACTAAGGGCATCCATTTCACATGAAATTGAACTATGTCAAATATTCTACCTGCATTCCTGATATAAATTACTATGAATTTGATATGGTAATTAATACTGAGACACTAATTTGGGCAAAAAGCA